GAAAATATTCGTTCATATTTTTATTATCATAAACCGCCGCCAATACAAGTATTTACCACTCGGCCGCCAACAACGTTATGCTTGTTTATGATAAACAGTGGACCTCGTAATTTTTAACATTTGACGTATCGGCCTGAATGTCCGCCAGAATGAATGTAAATTTCATGGAAGATTGTAGTTTATAAAAAATATTTGTTGTCATAGGTTCATAGACAGGATTCGACGCCCTAGCGTATATGGCGGTTCCGTATAGGCCATGCAGGTTCGAATCCTGTCTATGAACGAATATTTTCTATGAAAATTCTCTCGGACATTCAGGCCGGTAAATGTTATTTAATACTGTTTATCCAGAGCATTTGCTTAAATACTTGATCTATAAAATAACAACGTTAAACATAAATAAAAATGTCTTTAATAAATAAATTGTCGGACCTCGTCCATTTCTTAACATATGACGTCATTTGTTTACATTCGATACGCCAGAGCAGTTATGAATGTACGAGATTCATGGAAGATTGTAGTTTATAACAGTAAATTCGACCTTGTCTACCATAAGGTTCATGGTGGCCGAGTGGTCAAGGCACGCCAGCGTATATGGCGGTTCCGTATAGGATGCAGGTTCGAATCCTGTCTATGAACGAATATTTTCTATGAAAATTTCTCGACATTCAGGCCGGTAAATGTTATTTAATACTGTTTATCATAAACAGAGCATTTGCTTAAATACTTGTATCTATAAAAATAACAACGTTAAACATAAATAAAAATGTCTTTAATAAATAAATTGTCGGACCTCGTCCATTTCTTAACATATGACGTCATTTGTTTACATTCGATACGCCAGAGCAGTTATGAATGTACGAGATTCATGGAAGATTGTAGTTTATAACAGTAAATTCGACCTTGTCTACCATAAGGTTCATGGTGGCCGAGTGGTCAAGGCACGCCAGCGTATATGGCGGTTCCGTATAGGATGCAGGTTCGAATCCTGTCTATGAACGAATATTTTCTATGAAAATTTCTCGACATTCAGGCCGGTAAATGTTATTTAATACTGTTTATCATAAACAGAGCATTTGCTTAAATACTTGTATCTATAAAAATAACAACGTTAAACATAAATAAAAATGTCTTTAATAAATAAATTGTCGGACCTCGTCCATTTCTTAACATATGACGTCATTTGTTTACATTCGATACGCCAGAGCAGTTATGAATGTACGAGATTCATGGAAGATTGTAGTTTATAACAGTAAATTCGACCTTGTCTACCATAAGGTTCATGGTGGCCGAGTGGTCAAGGCACGCCAGCGTATATGGCGGTTCCGTATAGGATGCAGGTTCGAATCCTGTCTATGAACGAATATTTTCTATGAAAATTTCTCGGACATTCAGGCCGGTAAATGTTATTTAATACTGTTTATCATAAACAGAGCATTTGCTTAAATACTTGTATCTATAAAAATAACAACGTTAAACATAAATAAAAATGTCTTTAATAAATAAATTGTCGGACCTCGTCCATTTCTTAACATATGACGTCATTTGTTTACATTCGATACGCCAGAGCAGTTATGAATGTACGAGATTCATGGAAGATTGTAGTTTATAACAGTAAATTCGACCTTGTCTACCATAAGGTTCATGGTGGCCGAGTGGTCAAGGCACGCCAGCGTATATGGCGGTTCCGTATAGGATGCAGGTTCGAATCCTGTCTATGAACGAATATTTTCTATGAAAATTTCTCGGACATTCAGGCCGGTAAATGTTATTTAATACTGTTTATCATAAACAGAGCATTTGCTTAAATACTTGTATCTATAAAAATAACAACGTTAAACATAAATAAAAATGTCTTTAATAAATAAATTGTCGGACCTCGTCCATTTCTTAACATATGACGTCATTTGTTTACATTCGATACGCCAGAGCAGTTATGAATGTACGAGATTCATGGAAGATTGTAGTTTATAACAGTAAATTGACCTTGTCTACCATAAGGTTCATGGTGGCCGAGTGGTCAAGGCACGCCAGCGTATATGGCGGTTCCGTATAGGATGCAGGTTCGAATCCTGTCTATGAACGAATATTTTCTATGAAAATTTCTCGGACATTCAGGCCGGTAAATGTTATTTAATACTGTTTATCATAAACAGAGCATTTGCTTAAATACTTGTATCTATAAAAATAACAACGTTAAACATAAATAAAAATGTCTTTAATAAAATAAATTGTCGGACCTCGTCCATTTCTTAACATATGACGTCATTTGTTTACATTCGATACGCCAGAGCAGTTATGAATGTACGAGATTCATGGAAGATTGTAGTTTATAACAGTAAATTCGACCTTGTCTACCATAAGGTTCATGGTGGCCGAGTGGTCAAGGCACGCCAGCGTATATGGCGGTTCCGTATAGGATGCAGGTTCGAATCCTGTCTATGAACGAATATTTTCTATGAAAATTTCTCGGACATTCAGGCCGGTAAATGTTATTTAATACTGTTTATCATAAACAGAGCATTTGCTTAAATACTTGTATCTATAAAAATAACAACGTTAAACATAAATAAAAATGTCTTTAATAAATAAATCTTTCCCAATGTTAACATCATCTTCATTATTATTATAATTATGATTATTATTATGATTATTATTATTGTTATTATTCAATGATCTTTCTTGATTTGTATCTTTCTCGTCGTCATTTTCATTATTCTTGCTGCTGGTTTTGTTATTATGCTTTGATATTCTTTTTAGTGCTAATAAGATTGTTTCTATACAACGATATCCAATCATAAAAAAAAAATGTTTTTTTTCTTCAGTTTAAAGTGAAAATAAAATTGCAGAAAGAGAGAGAGAAAAAAAATGCACTTAATTCATGAAGAAGTTCCCTTTAATCGGAGCCGGCATCAAATGGATGGGCGTTTCTCTTGAGAAGCACTCAACTCCTTCGGATCGTTCCTGCCAGTCTTTGAAGAATGTTATCTTTTTCCACGTGTGCCATTTCAAAAAATATCTCCGAAGTTTTTTTAAGTTTGAAGTTAAAGAAAACGTAAACAAAAACAAATTGAACATTTTATAAATACTAGAGAATTTCCTCAAGTTATATACACACACACACACACACACACACACACACACACACACACACACACACACACATATATATATATATATATATATATATATATATATATATATATATATATAGTATTACACAACACGAGAATCTATGCACCGGGGTTGAATAAGACTGACGTAGTTTCGTAGGTTGAAATAGATCTATGCTCCCCAATATGAGGTAATTTAGAATTTATATGCTCTGTAATAATAAACGCATTGAGCTCTTTTTGTGGATCAATTTTAATATTTTATATTACTAGGATCCACTTGGATTCTTTTTCTTTGGGAATCGGGGACTTGCTGTGAATGTCGACATTTCAAAATGATTGCCCGTCCCGAACGCTTTTCGGCTAATTTTCAAGCAATTTGGTTGTAAAATTGCAAATGTTGCTTAATTTGTTGAAAGGTAAATATATTTTCAATTTGTTCAGACCGTTGATCACGCCAGATAATACAGCCAATATACGTAGTTGGTGTTGCCAAGGATTGTTTTTTGTTTATTATGAGGGCTCTAATTAAGTTTCGAATCCTTTCGCATATATATATATATATATATATATGTGTGTGTGTGTGTGTGTGTGTGTGTGAATAGATGGCCACTAGTGTACGAGGAAGCCCGTCTACTAGGGCAGCTAATAAATCCCTGTTACAGACGCCTGCTCAGGCACATTTGTGTTTGTTCAAAACCTGTTGGTTTATACTTCAATTAAGCCGAGCTGACGTTAGTTACAGTTTCTGGGGAGAGCGCGTTATCTAGCGTGATCATCAGTTTAGCACGCTCAAAACCTGGGTCACGATGACTTGTGACTTCGTGCTATATATATATATATATATATATATATATATATATATATATGCATGTGTGTGTGCGTGTGTCATTGAATGTGACTGGCTGACAAGGAAAATAGTATAAGTTTTTTTGTTTTTTTTATTCAGCTTTTCTATAGATTCTTTTTTATATGCTGTGTCCAGTCAGGATGTAGGCGATCATGGTTCTTTAAAACTCCCTGTCTTTTATTTTTAACTCTTAATAAATTTTGTCTTTTTGTTTTATTTCCTAGACACTTCTCCGCCATCCATTTACACAAGCTCATTAAGTATGTCATATGTTGTAATCTTCTATCACTCTTCAATCTGCCCTTTGAATATCAGATTTTCCAAACCCCCTTTCCTCATTAAAATTTAACTGTATCTTCCTGATAATGATTTACTAAGCGAAGCTTAGTTGTGGCCTGTCTCTTCCTGATGTTAAGTATATGTTTCCTTTTTGTTTCCATTTTATCTGAAAGATCGTCGTTCTTCAAATATTTAGTCCATGGTATCCTCAGCATCTTTCTGTAGACCCTCATTTCTGTTGCTTCAAGAGTCTTTTTTGTGAAGATTGTCCAGCATTCACTGCCATATACGATCAGATATCACGTAACAGCTCAGTACGCTTTTCTTTGTTTTTTAATACTCTGATTAGCTTTTGGAAGGCATCTTTGGCAATCCCAATACGTCTTCAGATTTCAGTGTCGCAATTTTCGTCATCTGTTAAGAAATACCCCACATATTTAAATTGTGATACTTGCTTGATTTTCGTTTTTCCGTTTGGTAATTTGCATTTTTGTCTCATCCATTTGCCAGAAACAATGCATTCCACTTTGTTGCAGTTTATATTTAATCCTTCCTTCTCGCATACCTTTCTGCGAGGAAGGGGATCAAAAAGAGGCTAGAAACAGTCCGTAGTTATTAGTGCCCCAAATATTTACGAACAATCTATTAACCATTTTCTACATACATGTTTATGTTCTAAGATGTACTGTGCATATGTAAAATAAGCCGCATTTAATAAAAGTATTAATAACTCCATGCCGGTGCGGTATTGCATAGGGCTAGTAATAATACCATGCCGGTGGGATATTAGATAGTAGTAGTAATAATTCCATGCCGGTAGGATATTGGACAGGTATAGTAATAATTCCATGTCGATGGGTTATTGGATAGATGTAGTAATAATTCCATGCGGCTGGGGGATTAGATAGTGGCAGTAATAACTCCATGGCTGTGCGATATTGGATAGGGGTAGTAATAATTCCATACCGTTGGGGTATTGAATATGGGTAGTTAATTAATTTCATGTCGGTGGGATATTGGATTGGGGTAGTAATATCTCCATGCCGTTGGAGTATTTGATAAGAGAAATAATAATTCATGCCCTTGTATTTGGTAAGAGTAGAAATAATTTCATGCCGTTGTGGTATTGGATAAAGGTAGTAATAATTCCATGTCGGTGGTCTACTAAAATAACAGTAATAACAAAATTTCTTAACTCGAAGGATCGTCTAATCTCTTGTCTTAAAAATGATTGAAATAAATATGGAGCGACGGTTTAACATCGAGTTTCATGTGAACGTTAATGGATGTGTTTGTGAAACATTAGCCATATTAAAATGGCTTATATTGAAATTGCTATGAAACAAATCGAGTGTTTTCAAAGTGGTATAGTCGCTTCAAGAAGGGGCGTGTAGACGTCTACGATGGCGCAACAAGTGGGAAGCCGAAACCACAAAAAAACAGATGCAGATGTGAACAGAGTTCGATCCTTGATGCACTGAGAACCTTGGTTAAGTGTACAAGAGATGAAAAGAAGAGATGAATAGAAGAGATGAATAGAAGACATAAACAGAAGAGATGAATAGAAGAGATGAATAGAAGAGATAAATAGAAGACTGTTGTGGTAGGATCCACCTAATTTGCATAGTGGAGTGCCGACCATATAAATATGGTTGGTACCGGGAAGAGAGGGAGGAATCAAGAGATTCAACCAGAGACTCTGCCCGACTGCGACTCAGTCAACACATTCTCCAGGAACGGTCTTATCAGGAATATATAAAAGGACTATATGTAAATATTGTGTACCCTTTTTTGTTTCAATACATTTTGTTTTATGTACATTTTGTGTTGCATTATTATTCCATGCATTAGTGAAGTTTAAAAAAAGGCATAAATACAAGAGATGAATGGAAGAGATGAGTAGAAGAGATGAATAGAAGAGATAATTGGAATAGATAAATAGAGATGAATAGAAGGGATGAATAGAAGAGATGAATAGATGACAAAAATAGAAGAGACGAATAGATGAGATGAATAGAAGAGATAAGCAGAAGTGATGAATAGAAGAGATAAATAGAAAACATATATAGAAGAGATAAATAGAAGACATTAATAGAAGAGATGAATAGAAGATAAATAGAAGACATTAATAGAAGACATAAATAGAAGACATAAATAAAAGAGATGAATAGAAGCGATGAATAGAATAGACGAATGGAAGAGATGAATGGAAGAGATGAATAGACGAGATGAATAGAAGATTTAATAGAACAGTTAAATAGAAGAGACGAATAGAAGACATTAATAGAAGAGATAAATAGAACAGACGAATACAAGAGATAAATAGAAGAGAAATAAAAGAGATGAATAGAAGACATAAATAGAATAGACAAATAGAAGAGATGAATAGAAGAGATAAAAAGAAGAGATGAATAGAAGAGATGAATAGAACGTACTGTCCGGTGAATGTCGGTTTGAGGTATACGGATGTCCTGATCCCTTGCTTTGTTTGAGATATTAGAACATCCAGGAATGGGAGTGTGTTGTTACTTTCTTTTTCCATTGTGAACTGTATCGAAAGTCTTATTGAGTTCACATAGTCCAGTAGAACCTGAACATCTTCCTGGTGTGGCCAAAGTATGAAGGTGTCATCTACGTACCTTACCATCGAGTTGGTTTTAGAGATATAGATTCTAATGTCATTTTCCCAAAGTATTCCATGTATATATTCGCCATTGCTGGTGATAATGGCGAGCCCATTGCTAAGCCCTCATCCTGTCGATATATGTGTGATCCCATTCTGAAGTGTGTTGTTTGTGTACAGAATGTCAACATCTCCATCAGATTACCTATTGGTATACTGGATTTTAAATCAGTCCACCGAAACGAGAGATTTTACATTATATATATTTATACTTGAATATACGTTTACATACACACACACATATCCATATAATATAAAATGTAAACATATTAGACCATTTTGTATACTTGTGCACACAGATGTTTACATATATA